ATGCAAACAAATTTTGTCAAAATGCAAGCAAATTTTTTCAGGATATCTTCCCGATTGCGTCATCCTGCCATAATTTACACGCATTTTGATATTTTTAAGGAAAAAAAAATTTTTTTTCACCATTTAAAACTTTATGAATTACTCTAGGCTTACCTGAACTCACTTTTTCTATTCTTTAATTATTAAATTACTTATCTAGAAGAAAGAGAATTTGTCATGAAAAGTTTCTTCTTCGATATAGCGTCCTCTTTCAACAGGAATTTTTCTTCAGGAATGTCCAATTTCTGATTATAATTCATTTCTAAATAAGCACTTTTCAAGTTATTGTAGTTTGTTTTTTTCTATGAAAAATTTAAATTCTCAAAACATAAACAACCACTTTTTGAATCGGTGTTTACTTCAGAATTTAATAGGTTGTCATAAAATTCTAAATTGAAACAGATTTAGAATTAGTTTGAATGTCCATTAGAAGGATTGCATCAGTTACAATATCTGTGTAAAACGGAATGGCCCATACCACTTGGACGTCCGATGATATCGACCAGCTTACAAGAGCTATTTTGTGTTGAAATACGTTGCTTAAAATAGTTGTAGGATTGATTGGAGCAATTGCGGTATCATTATTAATACCGTAATTGCTCTAATTGATCCTCGATCAATAACAAAATGACACCAACCGTAGAGAGATTTTGCAAAGCTGCACGGTTCACCGACTCTTGTTAACGAGCTTCACAGCGCATGCACGGAAATTTCCCAACCAATCGCAGTGTGAATAAGGCGTTACAGTTAACGTTAGACAAACTCTTTTTTATTTCATTTTATACCCGTCGTTGAACAGCCGATCCAATTTCGGGTTTACGACTACTAATGTTCAACTCCCTAGACTTGTAATTTTGAACCCACTCCAGAAGACAAGGGAACTCCTGGATCAGTATTGTTATGGGAACATGGAGGACTTTGATACCAGACGGATTTAACTTGCATCAGTCACCATTTACATTGCTGGTGGGGATCGAACCCGCGAACTCTTGGACATGGGCCCAGTGCCCTACCAACCAGGCTATATCAGCCCCGACAAACTCTTCGCAAAATCTTTCATTAAGTCCCCCCTTTCCAAAATACAGCACTTTTTTATTTATTTATATGTTTTTCTCAAAAGTGCCCTCGCCGTTTGCATTCAAAATAATTATTAAGAATTAAAGCGGGGGGAGGGGGAGCATTGCGAAATAGGCAGTTCATTGACTTTGGCGAAATAGAACACTGGCTTATTAATATTTTCTTTTACACAAATTGCAAAGAAGACATTAAAGGGTTATTTAGGTAAATTCAAAATAGAGAATACAAGTATTAATATTACCTAACGTAATCAAATAAATAAAAGTTCGATTTATTGTTAGAGGCATGTTTGTTTTCTTTTCTCATTCTATTAAACGAACGAAATTTATTTAAGAAATAACACAAAACGGCGCATAAATTAGATTCGAAGCATTGTGTTTGACGCACGCTGAAATCTTTTTTAAAGGAAATATCCTGTCGTCTAGAGTGGAAATAAATGAGTTGTTTTTGATGCCCTGGCACTAGGCGATAAGGGCCTGTCATTGTCTATTCCACCCCGTACTCTTTCCTTCCTTTCTTTGTCAACTGCCGCTCATATCATAAATTAATACATAGTACTTTTTCTTCTTTCAAATATTTTTATTTATTTATTTATAATCAATCGGTCAATAAACTTACTCAGTTAAAAATAGCTTTTAAATAAAATAAGTATTTTTTTTTAGAATTTTCTAGGTTGTAGCTTTTTTTCCCATTGTATTTCACCTTTATTGATATTACAGGGTGCGTAGCGTTTTTAAAAAGTGCTTAATTTTGATTTACGTTTTTTAAAAGGCCTTAAATGTGTTTTTTATTTTTTTATTCGGAGTTTGTAATAAGTTCTTACTTTTCTATCTTCTGAAAAGATATTTTTTCTTTGCCGTATCAATTGTCGTTCTGAATAACGAAAAATGTATGATTTTCACAATTTTCTCTGCAATATTTATCACAAACTTGTTATTTTTATCATGATTATGTTAAGTTTTTGAAAATGTTTTTGAATTTTATGTTTATAAATTAAGAACTTTAAGCTATAGAGAAAAAAAATTTTTATTACTGCATAGATCCTAATGAATTTTTTTTTTTTTTTTGGATAGTGATTAAAAATATTTTTTGAATGCTTGAAAAGTACTTAAAAGCTGCTTATTTTTTGTTAAAAAATTTATCTACGCACCCTGTATTAGCTTATTTTTAAAATAGCTATTCTTTAATTCAGTTAGATTTACAATTAGCTCTAGTTTTTTTCCATCGGTAGAAGGAAACTGTGTGTAATTATTGTCTTTTAATTTAAGCTAATCATTACGTGTAAATGATATTAAATAATGTACATATAACCTTAATTAGAGAATCTAGGTAATCATTACAAGATATTTTGTGGAGAACTGGATATAATGTTAAAATAATGGCTTTTGTACGTCATCACAAGATTATTTCCATTACCGTAATATATGCATAACTAAGTACCAAAATAATCTTCTAATAAAATAAAAGAAAAAAACCCGCCTTATTTAGGCATATGATAATTTCTTAGGTCTTATGGTTGATATAAAATATCATAAATTATTCCGTGTTTTAGCCGCAATCCTATTAAATTCTTTTCCCATCCTAGCCGCAAACCTCTCTAACCTCATGGTGCAAAAGTGCATAGTAAATTATGAATCATCCTTTAGTTGGGTAGGCGTGTGAAAAAAAGGGATGCCCAAATACGAAAGAGAAAAAAAAAGTGTGGGTGCTTTTTCTTGCCGAACAGTTTGTTATCTATAATTAAAGAATCTGCGCAAATTAATTAAAAGTTGAAATTAAATATCGTCGTGTTGAATTTAAGCGAACTGGTGACCTTTCACTTTATTTACCATTCAAAAAGGAGTGTCTGGGGGTGACTTTTTTTTGAAGTGAAGAGTAGGAAACTTACTTTTTTTTTTAAACATTTTGTTGCGCTTGTCAGTCTGCCGCTTGCTGTTGGTTACTTCCTTTTTTTGGTGGTTCACTCACTTGTTGTCTACAGATTACGTGAGAACGATTGGGGTGCCCAGAATTGGCTACATAGCCAGGGTGCGTAGCGTTTTTAAAAACTGCTTATTTTTGATTTACGTTTTTTAAAAGCCCTTAAAGGTGCTTTTTTTATTCAGTGTTTGTAAGAAGTGCTTAATTTTCTATCTTTTAAAAAGATATTTTTTTTCTTTGCCGTATCACTTGTTGTTCTAAATTACAAAAATTGCATTATTTTCACAATTTTCTCTGCAATATTTATCAGAAACTAGTTATATCATCATGATTATGTCAAGTTTTTGAAAATTTTATTTAATTTTATTGATTTTATATTTATAAATTAAGTACTTTAAATGATAGAAAAAATAATTTTTATTACTTCACAGATCCTAATTAGGATTTTTTTTGGAAGGTGATTAAAAATATTTTTTGAGTGCTTGAAAAGTACTTAAAAGGTGCTTATTTTTTTATTGAAAAACGGGCTACGCACCCTGATAGCGATTATTGTATGAATGTCACTTAATATTATTTCTGTTCTGTTAAAAATTAGATATTTTCTTCATTAAAAGTGTCAGTTTGGGACCACGAATTACTAAAAATTTACCTTTTTCAACTAAAAATGTTTTTTTTTCCCTCTCAAGGAAAAGTGTATATTAGTAAATTTCTATGCATTTTTTTTAATTAATATTTTTTTTAAAAAAAGAACATAAAATAATTTTATTGTTTACAGAGGTATAATATGTTTTTTGCAATTTTTCTGGCAGAAACATGATGCTTAGCTCATAAAGTTTTTGTTCTTTATTGTCACCAAGCTGATCCGGGTGATTTTTAACTTTCTCATTTGAAGTAAAGGCATTATCGCCTAAAACGTTTTCTATAGACCTGAACAAATTTTCTAGATAACACATTTTTGAGCCTAGTACTGATGTCCTTCAAAAAAATACAATTTTCTTGATGTTTGAGAAGCAAATCACAGAAGACTAATGCGACATCATAAATTTCTTTCTGTAAGAAAGTGAGGAATACATATGTTAAATTTCATCATTCAGCGATCTGACGCGATTTGCTTTTGCCAGTTAGCATCAATTAATGCCTTTATTATGTCTTCATCAACCTAAACTGGCCAAGTGCATCTTCATGGAATCCTCTTAATCGAAATTTCGAAAACCAATTTTGGCAATGCCGTCTTGTCAAATACATCTCCATACACATAGGATAATTTTTTTTTCTTGAACAGTATTTTTACCTTTTCGATAGTAATAAAGTATACGATGCCGAAGATGCTGCATTTCACTTTAAATATTTGAAAGAGCACCAACCAAAAAAATCTTCTGCGTAGAATCAATCGAACTTTTTGATTCACAAGTATAAAATCACAGGTATATTATCAGCTTTCAAAATTTATAATGATTTCATGATTATACAACTTCAGTGTGAAGTTGGCATTGAAAAAAATACAATTAAGTCCTCTTATTAAAAAAAAAAAAAAAAAATACTTTCTGAACTACTCTATGCAATATATATATAATTCCAATAAATATTTATAAATTGCATCAACATTTCTTTATTGAAAAGTTTTCTACACATAATTTACTTTTTCTAAAAAAAAAATTACTTCGATGCTTGATTTTATGCTTTTAATTATTATATTTGATTACCTAACATTAATACCTCTCCTGGTTTTATAACGTCAAAATGTGTTAAAACCTGATTTATTAATTTTTTTATGAAATTATGATTAGGTGCCTTCTAGGGAATTTTCTAATGAAACTAATGTACTCATTTTCGTCTAATTTCAAATTTAATTGAAAATGAGAAAAAAGTCAAAAGAAACATTGAATCTGCCTGACCTTGGCTGCATATATTAGATTTTGGCGAACTTTTAGTTTCACCGCATCCCTTCTTCTTCCAGCAAACCTCAACTCTGTAACGCGTTCGGGGAGTTTTTCATATGGGAGCTGAATTCTATGTCAGCTGCTTCTGTGTGAAGTTCATTTTTCCCCATTGTGTTTCATTTCAGCTTGGTTTCGTTTTCTTTAAATCTTTTTCGCTTATTTTTTTTTTTACGTTTGCCTACAACGAAATCAAGTTTTTATATCATAATTAAAAAGTAAACAAGCAAGCAAATTACCGCTGAAGTTTAATATACTCAAGCAGTATTCCTGAATGTAATTTACAATAAATGCCAACCTAGTAGTTGTGGTTTTTATATGATGTGAATTATATTTCTGGTGATATTTATGATCCTACAATGTGAAATCGAATTCTCATATCGTGATGTCACAAAAGTGATTACCATGTGTTTCCAACAGTGATGTGTATGATTAAAAAACAATCTTTTTGGGATTCTCTCAAATTTGATTTCTAAAAATGGTATTAGTTGTTAAGTGTACTGTTTAATTTTTATTAAAATGAGGACCACAGGAATGGTATGTTGGAATGCACCGATTGAAGTAGACTGGATGGGTAAGTTGAAATATTTTAGCTGAAATTATTTTAGAATTATTTTAAATGTGTTATTCTGAATGAATTGTGATATAATGCTGCAGGTTTAAAATATACTCTGCAATTCAATTCATTCAAGTTTAGTTTGCTGGTAATAAATTGTAAACTAGTAATGTAAAAAAAAAATTAAGTCAACTGTTTAAGTCATAAAAATATTTTATTTTAGTTACTTTTTATTAAATAATCAAAATTTTTTCTCCAACATAAAACTAAAATTAATTAATTAAATTTAATAAATGAATTAATATTTGAAAAAACTAAATAAGGCCTCTAAAGAAACAATAAAAAATGATCGATAATGCCCTCAAAATTTTCAAAAACATGCTTCATATTTATTAACTTATAAAGAATTATGAATTGTAACTTGTTTTTATGAATTCAAATTTTAAAAAAAAATGTATAAATAATCAAATTAATAGGATGTTTTGGAATTCGGAGGCAAAAATTTAAGGAATGATTAGAAAACATCTTATCAAGCAATTTTAACTACTCAGTGAATGGGCGGAGAGAGCAAGAAGTGAACCACTAGTAGATCTCCGTTACTGTCACATAAAAGAACCAAGCACCAAATAGATAGAGGATGTACTAAATTAATTTAACGTATATTAAATAACGTGCCCCGATCGCTAAGTTACAGATGTGAAGGTAGTTTCTGTAATTATGCCATACAAGCTGTCAATAGCAGTAATTTAGTACCTGTTTGGTGTTGTGTTCTTTTATGTGACAGTAAGGTATACCTTCTAGTGGTTCACTGCTTACTCTCTGTCCATTCATTGTATGGTGATAGATGTTTTCCTATCACACCTTTAATTGCCCATGAGTTTTGTCTCACCCTGTAGGTATATCATGAATAAAATAAAATATCAATAAATACCTGATAAAAAAGAATAACAATAATAATTTTTAGTATTTATCTTCAAGTGTATCAGAATTGCATTGTATTATTATAAAATGTATTTTTATTTTTTTAAATTGGAAGATTGCCTATTGTCCAACGGCAAATTCTTATATTTTGAAAAACTCAGTTCAACATTAACGCTTGTTATTGGAGGATATTTTTATTAAAAAGATTCAATGCAAAGTTCACAATAATTTGTAATAGAAAACAAATCATTTACAAGCAAAATGCTGATTAAATAAAAAATATTATTCATAATAAAAGGGAGAAAATTATCTGAAATATTAAAAAAATGACCTAAAATGCATTTTAGCCAGGTTGAAACTAATAAAAAGCATAAAATGAAAACTTTCGCATCGTAGTAATTCCCTTTAAGATATAAAAAATAATTGAAAAAATATTGTTTTGAGTTGAAATATATAACTGAAAAAGGTATCGGTTGCTCTTCAGAATTTTCCACATCTTTATAGAAAATAGTACTATGAAGAAAAATATGGAGAATTTTTTATGGAGAAAGTCATCATAAACATTTCCATACTTCTGTGAAACTAATTGAAAAATTACCGGATAGAACTACATTGTTTTCAATAAAACTGTAAGACTAACTGTAGTATCGGAAAATACTGTGTGTTATTCAGATGTAAAATTCAGTGATAAGGTATTGACGATCACCTTCTCATTTCCTTGAAAATAATAATAATAATAATAACACTGTTTTAAAAGACAGGCGAGTTATATTTCTACATCATATTTTGCCAAAAACTACCGTCCAGCCTTATTCATATTTTCCGTAAAGATATAAAACCTATTGAAAAATTACCGGCGAATGATGGCAAGTTTGGTGAATCTTTACTTGGATGGCTATCTTTAACTTATATTAAATTACAATCGATTTAAGACATTAATTAATCGGCATTTATGTTTTTGGTAAAACCTTGCTATTGCTTAAAACAAACTCATAATTAAAATTTTGAGATGTATTTTTTTTTCTCGAAAAATATTGCTTTAAAATTATGCTTTTTATTGATTGAAAAAACTGTTTGTCTTTTACTTTTAAGTTGTTTTCTCTGTTAATATCGTTTTAAGCCGATTACATAATCTTGCATTAAACATCAAAAAACGAAATGTACTAAACATAAAGTTACGGAATTAGATGCAATTTTTCCGAAAGATTATTTCATTATCTGTATCGACATGATTTGAATAATTCTGAAACTATTATTTCATTATTTGTATCGTCATGATTTGAATAATTCTGAAGCTATTATTTTATTATTTGTATCGACATTATTTGAATATTTCTGTAACTATTATTTCATTATTTGTATCGACATGATTTGAATATTTCTGAAACTATTATTTCATTATCTGTATTGACATGATTTGAATAATTCTGAAACTATTATTTCATTATTTGTATCGACATGATTTGAATAATTCTGAAACTATTATTGTTTACGGTGAAAAATTACTTGTCTTCTTCTTTCAATAGTTCTTTAAATATCCTAAGTTATTTGATAATTTGTTTAATTGTTATTTAATTATCTAACAAAGGAAAAGTTTATACTGCCACAAAAACTGGATATGAACTTAAACAAAGCAATTTGCTTTTAATTTTATTAGTAAATTTTGTCTCATTTTTTCTATGTATCAAAATAAATTTTAAAAAAATCCAAATATTTAACAAACAAAGTTATATTTTATTACTTACATGCTGCCAGTTATGTAAATAAAAAAATTAAAAACCTGCGTGCGAATCTTGCTCCATGCTCATTAACATTGACCTTGATCATGATATTTCAGCAGATTCATGCTGGCTGAAAAGACACGATTTAGGAGTGGCCAATAAAACAAATTCTTGTTTACATATAATGATAATCGTGAATAGTTATAGCATGACTGATGAAAATTTAATTGATGTGTATGCTAAATCCTTTCATTGTGAAAAGTATGAGCGAAATTAGAGATTGATTACAGCTAAGATTCGTTTAAGGAAGTAACAAAGATAAAATCGTGGTGTATTGATTTATTTTTAAAATATACTTTTTTCAATTACGGTCATTACTATATTTATCTTAAACTGTCGAACAAAGATATCAAATATGTTCTGAAGTTGTGATACAAAGCAGTGCTTTTTTCATAGGAAAAAATCAGTTTGCTTTGTCAATAGGAAAAATAAGTTAACGAATAGTAATTACTTAAAAAGTCATAACAAAATAACATTTCCTTTTATCTATTATCCACTTTAAGTATTCTTTTTTCACGAGTTCGAGGTTTAAAAAAATTAGAGGTGTGACTAATTGTGCTAGGCGATACCAAAACTTTAATATTGTGATATATATTATTTTCGATATTTATAATAATTAGCGCAAGATTTTCGAAATCGATAATTATCGTTATCAATACTACTAGGTACATTATAGTATTCGATATTAATCGTTGACGGTAGTTATCGTATATTCGATATTTATCGTATTAATGATATTCAAGATATATCGTTATGATATCAATATCGAACTCTAGTAATAATTTATTAAATTCTTTTCGTTACTGTCACTTTTTTATGCATTTTAGTCAATACTCTGGATTATTAAAAATTACTATGTTTGAAATGACTAAAATAATATTTTAAATTTTATTCTTGAGCTTGAGACGTGTATCAGTGTAATAGTCAATTTTTTTTTTTTTTTTTTNATTTTTTTTTTTTTTTTTTTTAAAGTTATCCTTTTCTCACAGCTCGCTCAAATTATCATAAATTATGACATGATAGCAATCATAAGAATCAATTACAATATACTGTAGTTATTTGCTTCACTGAGATCAACCTATTTCCTACGTCGGGTAACTGGATTTAATATATGTTACATTATCATTCTTTGTCGATGACGTGTCGAGATATTTTGACATTTGCATATTTATGCGGGTGTATTCTATTGATCTTCTTCCCCCCTAAATCCTCTTTTGATACTTTAGGATGCGTCTGTCAAAGAGTCTTAATCTCTTAAACTTGCGTGTTGTGTGCTTCATGGTGGTCTTCTTTGACACCATTTGAACATAAGTTGAGATTGCACTATCCATTGTCGCTATCCTGTTTCTTTAATTATATTTTAACCTCTTTTTTTTTAATTTTTGAAGTAATTTTTTTATTATTGAAATCATGAAAGAAACGAAAATTTTTTTGATTCAGCTTTTTTATGAAAACAAATATCTATATCAGCTTTAATCTACACACTGCTGTATTTTCAGAAAATTCCATTACAACTCGAAGTTATTCCATTAGAACTTCTATTCCAAAAAAGAAATTTCATACCATGTAGAATATTCCGAATTCGAATTGTATCGTTCCAAATTCAAATAAGGACAGCTTTTTGCTTGTTCTTTTTTTTTAAAATCTAATCTTGATCGTCTGTCTTAGTCTTAAATAAAAATTATATGTAAATATCATTGAATTTTTAAGTATCTGCCTTTTAGTTGATTATCTTTTTAAATCGCCTGTCTTTAATCCTATTAGTTTTTTAATTGAATATTTATTTATTTTAAATTTAATAATTTTTTTTAACAAATCTGTTGGTTTTAAATGCTTGAATATGAACTGTATGAAAATATTGGGTTCTCCTTTTTCATTTGCCTTTTAATTGAGTATCCGTACTTTATAAGTCGGTTGGTTCTTAATGCTTGAATATAAACTATGAGAATATTAGGTTCTCCTTTGGCGTCTTCTTTTTAATTGAGTNAAACGCTTTGTTTAATTTTTTTAAATATTTAAGCTATAGCAAAAGTGGCACTAGACCTGGTATATATTTCGGACATTTACCAAAGGTCTAGTCATACAAGGTTTGGTTAAATGCCATTGCCCGGTATACATTTGCCCAGTATACCCTACACTGATGTTTTTTTAAGGTTCAATGCCACTGCCCGGTATACCCTACACTGATGTTTTTTTAAAGTCAAGTACCATTGCCCAGTATATATTTGCCCGATAGTCCAAACACTGAGGTTTGTTCTAATCTATCGTCAGTAAGTATTAAAATATCGAATAAATGTAATTATATCCAAGAATAAA